CTACCCGCAGTGCTGAAGCACCAAAGCGTTGACTGACTTTTTCATTCTCTTTTTCATTATCCCAAAAACACTTTTATTTTAAAAGTGAACTAATAATGATAATAACTTTATCCAATTTTATGTTTGCGGAAGCATTCATATTTTACACATAATAATTAAGTAAATGTTAAATGTGCTATTACATCATACTAGTATGATAATTACATATTTATTATGCAGACTAAATATGAATATTACTAAATGCAAGTGTGACTCTGTGGTGATTGGCAGGTTGCTCCCAAATGCTTTCCTCCTTGAACTTTGTGCCTCGTATCGACTAGGTACCTACGCGAAGGACATACAAAATCCAACGCGCTAAGCAAATCTTGCTTAGTGGTGTTCATTCTTTCTCTTTACAATTTAGTGTCAAATATCACATAGTAAATCAACAATTAAAAATGACATTGCAAATATACTATATTGCAAAATATAAACTTAATCCATTTTGTTCCCAAATAGCTATTTAGTAATATAATAAAAAGTCAACTCTTTCGTTGAAATCTTTAATAACTTATAATTCACCCCTAAATTCTATGTCTCATAATCAAATATTCAAAGTACAAGCCCTATTTGTTATAGTAGCATGTTAACCTTCGTATATCAGGAATAATACAAAATCATCAATCAAATTAGTTATTTCAAAATATATATCATATCACTTCGTTCGTAGTAGCTAGTTCATTATACTCCATTTGTTCAAAGTAGTTATTCTAATATCCTTCTAAATGTACAATATCCATATTAATATTCTACTCTTTAGTTGAGCTGTTAATAACTCGTAGTTTCCTTTATAACATATAGAGCGATATTCAAAGTATATTTTTCATTATGCACATTTTCTTTCAATAATTCAATGCTCTCTATCTCGATTTTCACCACTTTGTGTCACAGTCGAAATTCACATGAGCTATATCTAGCTGTAATTCAATATTCCATTTGATTTTCACTTTAACTTTCAATTACTCAATTTTCATCTTCTGCTCAATGTCAATCTTTCTATTTTCTTTTTCACACTTTTATTAAATTTATGGAATTCTACTCCTTAATTTAATGGACTGGATAAACAGGACATTCCTCATCTGGTACTGTCCACTCTGTGGCTGCGGACCATCTGAGTAGTATCAGCCTGACCGTTGTGTGGGTCAGGCCTTTCGTTTGGGTACTGTCCACTCTGTGGCTGCGGACCCTAAACGATTAAAGTTCAAGATTTAGGATATAGTATCAGCACTGACCGTTGTGTGGGTCAGGCCTTTCGTTTGGGTACTGTCCACTCTGTGACTGCGGACCCTAAACGATCAAATTCTACGGCCGTATTAACTATCCCTATTGGCATGCCAACCTATCCAAATCCAGAAACTAGGTTTCAAATTCCATATGTTTTGTATTCAACACATTTCAATTTGTATCATTAAAATTATTCTCAATTCGAAATAATATCATTATAATTTCAAGTTGTAACATAATGATATTCGGAATTGGTTTGTGTATACAACTCTCGTATTTGTTCATTTCTTTTATATATAAATTTCTTTTATATATAAATTTCTAATATATAGATCTCTATATGCATGTATAACATTTGTGTTGAATTGACTTTGTTATAAATCTCACCTCAATTATTTTTAATATAATTCAATTCAAACAACTATTTTCACGTATGCATATAAGTATATATATAAGTCATTGAATAAATTCAAGTTAACTATTATGATCCATAATAAATCTATAATCTATAAACTTACGTACATAAGTTTTGAATTTAACTCATCATGTGTATATATATATATATATATATATATATATATATATATATATATATATATATATATATATATATATATTAATAATTAATAATTTCCGAATCTGCTTAAGATAGATTATATTACATTAGAATTCTACCTTATTATAATCAAAATAATTTCAAGTCTTAAAACAATACGGAGTATTATTTATACTTACAGATTATTGTCATTCAAATGACTTTAATTATTTCCTTTTCAATACATTATTTTCGAAACTTAATTGGTCTTTTCTATATGTATAGTACTTCGATTTGAACTTCTTAACTTAAAATTTGAGTCAAACATTTTATTTTGAATTTAATACATCTGTATTCATTTTTCGTCAATACGAGTGGCCTATTCAAAATTTTCATATATGTACACTAAAAATAAGAAACAGTACGTTAAATGAAATATTTTTTAATGTATGACGTGGGACAATTTTTAAAAGTACCTCTTCTAATAAAAGGATCCACGCTTACTTCTACATACGGAGTATATATACTTTTCAAAATTATAAATATAATTCCCTAAATTTTCAATTATCTACATGTAAATGAACATTAATGATAGAATAAAATCACAATAATAGAATTAAACGATAATATATATATATATATATACCATTTCAGAATATATAAGCAACACAAAAATATAACAATAAAATGTTAAAATATTATAACCATATAATTTAGGATATGAGAAGGAATGAACACAAACCTTAAACTTGGGATAACATTTTCTTCTTTCTTTCCCTCTTTTGCTCTCCCTTCCTCAAGGACTTTTCTCTGCTTATTTTATTTCTTTGGTTCGTGGCTCATCTCCCAGTTCTTTTTCTCTAATCTTAATGGTGTATACTAAGTGGTAAGTATAATTTTATTTTCTTGCAGCTGAACTTTAATGAGTGAGCTAGTTGGCCAGGTGTAGTGTCTATTTATATTTGCATGTAATTTTTGTTTGCTTCTTCCATGAGCTTGCTGCGTGTCTTATGAAGACTAGAAGTCTCTCTGCTCATTCATAAATTTGTGTTCCTATTATTACTATATCAATTATTAATTGCTTAGTTTCAACACTTGACTCTTAATTAATTAGCCATATGTCTAGGAAATTTCTGAATTGATCTTTTCTTCTTTGTTTCATGTGCATGGCTCTTTGTCTATTATGCATGCTCAATGATACGTGTAGCCAAATGTCATGAAATTTCTTATGTGGTGGTTGAGTCTTGTTTGATATGCATGGTATGATGTATTAATATACTTCGTATATTTACTTTTGTCTTTGAAACATTTGTTTAATCTATTTCCACATGAATGTTATATGGCTATGTAAATTATCACATTTCATATCATTTTCTATCCGACCATACATAGTTTCTTTATCTAAAGATGACTTTAATTAGTTCGATTCAATTGTTCAAATTTTTTATTTATTTAACAGTAGTTTATTTTAGTAGATCGAGTTTAAATAAATAGCTAAAATACCCATCATAACTCATAAGTATAAACTTTTGTTGAATAATTTTAATTCTTCATATATAATTACTTTTATTTTCAGGTTTTTAAAATGTGTAAATTTTGAGGATGTTACAAAGAGGGTGGTGAACTGGAGAAAAGTGGAGGGACAGTCGGTTCGGTAGGGGAGCTCGGTGGAGTAAGTTGATCTGGCGTGGGTTGCTGGAGAGAGTTGGTGCTCGGTCTGGGAGTGGACTTGGGTGTGTGGTTGTACGAATAAACTGGTGTACTTGGAGGAGAGGGTATATAGAGTTTCCTATGGGGCTGGGAGATACTTCGGTTGGGGATGTAGATAGCTGAGGGTCTGCGGGTATACTGGAAGGAGGAGGTCTAGAGGTAGCAATAGTAGGCCAGGAAAAGGATAAACTGGAAGCAGGTAAAGTGGACTTGGAGGAAATTAGACGGGTATAAGGAAAATCATTCTTAGGGAATTGAACATCCCAGCTAATGTAAACTAGCTCTACCAGAAACAAGTTCTAAACAACGATACCCTTTATACCTCGGGGCATATCCCAGAAAAACACAATGAGTGGAGCGGGGTGAGAGTTTATTAGAGGACTTGGCAATAAAATTCGGAAAACAACTACACCCAAATACACGCAAAAAATTAAAATCTGGAGATTTATTAAAAAGTTTTTCAAAAGGAGTTAAATTTTTCAAAAGCGGTGTTGGTAGGCGATTGACAATATAAGTGGCGGTATATAGGGCATCTACCCAAAAACTAAGAGGAATCGAGGATTCAATTAAGATGGTCCTAGTTAATTCGAGAAGATGCCTATGCTTGCGTTCAGCAACACCATTTTGTGCGGGTGTATCGGGACAAGACTTGCGAAATAAAATCCCTGGTTTTAAAAAATGATTTTGAAAAATAGTATTGTCAAATTCGCCACCTCCATCACTTTGAAAAGATTTAATTTTCCCATCCAAAAGGTTTTCAACAAGAGTTTGAAAATTACAAAAATGAGTAAAAACTTCGGACTTACGACGCATGGGATAAACCCAAGTATAGCGAGAAAAATCATCAATAAAAGAGACATAATATTTATAACCAAGATTAGATAAAACAGGCGATTGCCAAACATCCGAGTGAACAAGTTCAAGAGGAGCGGTACAAGAATGAATAACATCTTGAAAAGGTAGTCTGTGGGATTTTCCCAACTTACAAGAGACACAATAATGATTAAAATTACTAGTAGAAGAAATAAAATGTTTTTTGCCGAAACGTGTGTAAAACTCGGTCACCACAATGCCCCAAACGTTTGTGACATGTAGGTCCAGAAACAAGGGTAGTCTGAAGAGCATGAAATGGATAGAGATGATCTTTGTTGGAAGCCTAAAGTAGATGCATCCCCGTCTGATTGTCCTTAATAAGAAAAGAATTTTTATTAAAAATCACCGTACAATCATTATCCGCACACAATTTATGAATAGATAATAAATTAAATTTGAGGTGTGGGACATGATAAACAGAGTTTAAGGATAGCGGGCGACCTGGAGTATTTAAAGTAACATTACCAACATGAGAGATGGGCAGTTTAGTACCATTAGCTACTTGCACATTTTTAGAGCCACTATAAGGAGATTTACAAGTCAGAATACCTTCATGAGGTGTCATATGAGCCGATGCTCCCGAATCAGGATACCACACAGAGCTATTTGTTTCGCCCGAAGGAATAGCAGCCAGAGCTGGGGTCGACATAGCCAGAAACCGAGAACATGTAAGAGCCGAATGACCTGGGGAGAAACATATTTGACAAACAACTGGGAGCGGATGTGATTGATATGAATTATCCACATACGGAAAACCTGCCCTAACACTATTAGTACCGCAATACGATAAATGATTAAAATACGAACAACCAGACGAGACATTACTTAATAGTGTACCTGAGTTTCCCGGCTGAAATTGACCACGGGGAGCTCCATTAGGTTGTTGGCCGTGAGCATAACCGGGTTGTGCCGGTGGAAAATTCTAGACGTAATTGCCTTGTTGATTCTGAAAATTCTGACCATATCCACGTCCCCGCTGTCCACGAGTTCGGACTCTCCTATTACCTCGGTTTCCATGAAACCTGCCCCCTGGCCTCGGGCAGCACCCCCACAATCTGATGGAGGTCCCCCGTGGGCAACCGCATATGCCTGGTGCATGATGGGTGGATCCTCCGAGCTAAACAAGATGTTTCTTTGCTCTTGTGCTTGAAGAACAGGCCTCAAACTTTCAATAGTAGCATCTCCAGGAAAGTATGTGACAGCAGTAATTAATGATTCATAAGCCGGACCAAGCCCATTGATAGTATAGTCAATTAAATCCCGATTATTCACAGGTGAATTTATTAGAGTCAAAGAGTCCGCCAGAATTTTAATCTCCAAGAGATATTGATCTATGGTTTGATTTTCTTTCTTCTTAATGTGAGACAGTAAACGTTTAAGTTCCATAGGCCTGGCCAAATAGGCTGACTGAAATCGAGTCTGAAGACACTCCCAAATTCGGGCAGAAAATTTCAAATCATGAACCTCCATTAAAATATCCCGTGACAAGGTGACATATACGGATATACCGTGACCGAATGGTCTGGTCGATCTTAAGCTAGTGATGGTACTCCGGATTGGGAACTCCCCGGGCAGTAACATCAAATGTATAGGTTGGCGGAGCCAAAACGGATCCATCTGGAATCCCAAGGAGACTGTGGGAAACAAGAAAGGATTCAAATTGAGTTCGCCACGAGAGATAATCCTCGACAACACTCAAACGAGTTGTAACGATATTGGTCACGATAGGCGTAGAAAACGCCAACTGGGAAGCCAATGAGGACAAATAAGAAGGAGGATTTGAAAAACCTGGCATGGAATTAAACTGCTGCTGCGGCAAGGGGGCAATACCCGCCTGTCCTGAAAAGGTCGGACCAGAATACATAGTATGTGACATGGACTGAGACACCGTTCCAGAAGGCGTTGCTGCTGAAGAGGATGCGTGAATTAAGCACCGCATAAGAGGGAGGCTGCGCCATTGAAGATGCGGGCGCCGTCACCATAGCTACCTTTGAAGGCAAAGACGGCGTGGCTGTAGAAGAAGAAGTATCGGTGGAGTCGGCCATAGTAACGAGAGAGAGATGCGTCTCGTACAACTAGGTTTAACCTAGGCAACTGATACCATATGCAAAAATATTTTGTGGAATAATCACCCACCCTAATAGGATGTGTTGATGATATATTTATACTAAACCAAGAGTTATAAAATTACAAAATATGTCCCTAGAATATACATTATTAACAAACTCCATCACTTTTTTAGTGTCTTATTTTTTGCCTTAAAATTTGTATAATTTTATTTTAAGCTATCACTCAGGGTATGTAAGTCCAAGAAAAAAACAGATGTTTTATAAATCATTAAATTATTTTTTAATTTTTATATATTCAATATTGGTATCATATAAAAGATAATAAAAAAGTCATTATTTTTGATATTTTTTTAAAAATAAAAAAGTTATGACACTTAAAAAAATAGATGTTTTTAAAAGCGTTAAATTAATTTTAATTTTTATATATCCAATACTGGTGTCATTTGAAAGATAAAAAAAATTATGAATTTTGATATATTTTTTGCAACAATCGGGATAGAAATAAAAAAGTTGCAAGCTTTTAGAAAAACATGGGATTTTTCCAAAAGAGGAAAAAACTCATTAATGAAAGTCTTACTCAATAATGAGTTGCGATCTAACTTGGATAAAATATTTATCATATAATTTAATCAATTAAATGAATAAATTAGTTGGACAATAATATTAAGGGAGAAGAGGGGCTACACGTATGCCACCTCATTCTCTTCTAACTCTAAATTATAAGGAATCTTTATTTATTTAAAATACATCTTAATTAAGTATAATAAATATAATTTATCACACTTAATTAATTTTATCAAATAGAACAATCCTTCAACATCATGAATTAAATATATTAATTTAATTAATAATTAATTCATCATATTGAATAAGATATTATTTAATCTAATTAATAATATTTAATTTCTTTTAACAATTCAATCAGAAGGCATAATCACTTGTTGTGTGACCCATAGGTAGGGATGGACCGGGCCCGATTCCAATTCCGGATCGGGCGAGCTTGGTTTTTCTGGGGTGAAGCCCGGCACCGGCCCGAGAAGCTACCGGGACCAGTATAAACAGCGTAGTAAATTTCAGATGATCATTTGACTTGTCTTTCCGGTTGATCATGCCAGAGTATCTACACTTAATGAAGAAGATGCTCAAAAAAATTCATAATAAAATTCCACCAGGAATTGCCCTAAATTGCGAAGGCCGAATGGAGCCTCATATGTAAGGGGTGATTTGCTACTTTTCCCTAATAACTAAATGGGTCAAACACATTGGTATCATAATAACATTTATTTATACGCCATAATCAATTTAGCATCTGGCTAAAGTGATTTAATTCCACTTTTGATCTCATTTTCACATTTACTCCACATCTTTCATTTTGTCTACTTTTGATACTCGACTAATGTTTCTTACCATTTGACGTCCTTTTCCGGTGATTTAAATCACCGGAATAGTTGACGGAAGGATTATATGTGGGCGAAAACACAATAGTCATGTACCAAAAATAGTCAAAGATGTGGACCAATTGTGAAATTGGTGTGATACTCGTGGGATCAAGAGTGAAATTTATTCTTTAAAACAGGGCACCACCTGGCCGGCTGGCCAAAAGCTGTTTACTTCTCGATGGCTGACCGGAGCACCGTAGATCTGCCTTCTCTGCAGCTGATCCCCGGCCTGCCGTATGACGTCTCTATGCGTTGCCTGGCTCGGATCCCTCCTCTATACCACCCCACCCTCTCTCTAGTCTGCAAGTCATGGAGCTCGGCGGTGCGTTCGGATGCGCTCTTCACCGCCCGGTCCCCCTTCCGTACCACTCAGGCCTTCCTCTATTTCATCCTCCGAATCAACTCTTCTTTGCACCTGTACGCCCTCCTCCCGTGCCGGGAACCCAGAAAGGCTGTTTCTCTCCCGTCAATCCCATCAGCGCCTATCGGCGCCGCTTTTGCAGTTCTAGGTCGTAAGATTTATGTAATTGGAGGGTCCATTAACGATATCCCATCCAACAAGATGTGGATTTTCGATTGCTGGTTCAATCGTTGGGAAATGGGGCCGAGAATGAAGGTCGGAAGGGAGTTCGCGGCTGCAGGAGTAGTGGGTGGGAGGATATATGTGATTGGCGGCTGTGTTGTTGACAATTGGTTCCGTTCAAGGAACTGGGCAGAGATATTGCCAAGCCCGAATGACATCAAGGACAAATGGATGCATGCCAGCGCGGTAATGGACGGTAAATTGTACGCAGTGGCGGATAGGGGTGGGTTGGTGTACAACGTTGGGGTTGGAAGGTGGGAAACTATCCCGAAGCGGCTATACATGGGGTGGAGAGGTCGGCCTGCCGTGGTGGGTGAGGTATTATATTGCTATGACTGTTTGGGTAACATTAGGGGATATGATGTGAGGGAAGATGGGTGGAAGGAGTTGAAAGGAATAGAGAAGGGGTTACCAAGATTCTTGTGTGGTGCCACAATGGCTAGTTCTGAGGAGAAGTTGTGTGTTACATGGGAAAGGAACGGTAGTAGTGGCAAAGGGGCTGAAATAATGTGTGCCCAGATTAAGGTTGGAAAGGATGAAACTGGGGATATGCGTGGGATTCTTTTATGGTCAGATATGATTCTTAGTGGTCTAAAGGGTTCCTCAGTTGAGCATTGTATAGCTGTTCATATGTGACGATGGGTACAGGTGTATCTTACAGGGGATGGAAATCGGGTGTTGTAACTCATAAAGGTTGTATTTTTAGTTCAAGTGTATTTTTGTTTCAAATAATGTGTGCATAGATCAATGAAAAGGATGGGTATATGGCTTTATGTAAAATTCTCTCATTTTCAGGCATGATTCTTATTGTTTGAAATGGCACTTATACAAAGCATTGTGTCTCAGTTACTATAGATATACTATCGAGTTCAAAAAATGGTGTGACCTTCCCTTACAGATCTTGCTCCACCATGACTTGCATACCTCAGAGGAGGACCCGAGTTTTATAGCTCAAGAAGGTTGTCCTATTTTGTAAGTGTATATTTCAGGCTTTGTTGAAGTGTTGCTTGAGACTTTGTGATTTTGCTCACTTGTTTGGTGTTTTCTGTAGTTGAGCAGTTTGTATCCATGTTATATATAGATCAATGAATGAGCAAAGTTCCTTCACTTGTGACCCTAATTTGACAATCTATTCATAATTACAGTAACATGAACTTGTAATAAAATATTGTCTGGTCTGTTGTGTTAAGCTTTAACCAAGAGTAAATGATAGTGGATAAGTTTCTTTGTAGCTCACTAAGTTATCCCTTCAGTGCTAGAGATTATAGATCATACATATGCTGCATACGTCCATTTACTTCATTTTCTAGTTCACTCCATATTATATTCAAAGAATTCTCATATTTGACTACAAGAAAATGCAGAATCACCCTTTGAATCATGAAAGAGCAACTGGGAAATTTGGGACAAAGATTAAGAAATGCTTGAATCACCCTTCACAGACTAAGTGAGGCTATGCCCTACGCTCTCACTTGAAAGGGTATTTTTATCAAATCCATGGTATTCTTAAACATTTCTCATCCTTAGATTTATTCGACGAAATAAATATTTTACTTATGACGAGAAGAATCATGAAAGTCATCCGTTCTTTTAAATTTAAAACTTTATTAACACATGTCATAGCTCATGAGCAAATTGTTACAGAAATTTACACCAACTAACGGATCAAGGATATAACACATGCAGCAGAAGTTTGAAATCTTAGAACACTTTTTCATATAAACATGCCATGGTTGGGATGAGAAAAAAAGGTAGAAAAAAAGCCAAAATGAAAGCGTAGGAGCATCCACCCAACCAGAAGTATCATCAGGGGAAAAGCACATAGACCAAAATGTGTATATTCAGCTAATGCATTTCTTCTCCAGTGTCTTTCTTCCAGAGGTTTTCTATTTGTTCAAGCGCTTGGCAACAAGTAGGACCAATTTAGATGACCAAAACCTTGTTGATTTCTACACTACATCGTCCCAAATTTATTATCTCATGTCATTTTGGCACGAATCTTAAGCAAAAAGCATCTTTATGGTGTTTCACTGATTCTATGATGTCATTACTCTAGCTAAGTTTTGGTCCATTCAGTTTTGACCATTTTAGGAAATCACAATAAATCACAATATAAAAGGGTAAAAAAAAGTAAGCAGCTAAGAAAAGCCTCTAACACCTATGTAGGGATTTTATTTCTAGAACAGTGGAAACACACAATTTGTAACACATGCAGAGAGTAATATTTATAATGAAAAAAGTTTTTTTTACAGTCGCACATGATTGTTTAAGGCTTCCTGGAGCTCTCACTTAGTGGTTCAGGCAAAAAGGTCTTCTCTCTCAACTCACACCTTCAAAAACTTCCTCAGTTTAATGAGATCAAGTATTCTCCTAAATTTGTAAAGAATTGCTAGGGATAGCTCAACAAGTTGAAGAGAACTAAAATCGTAGTAAATTTTCATTCAACCTAAGTGTGTAGAAATTGTCCTTTCTGTTTCATTTGTTTTCAAAGGACACCAAAGCCATACCTGATATCAAATAAACTTTTGGTTCCGGCCTCCGGGTTAAATCAAGCAGCCCGATTGGGTTGTTGTTGTGAGTTTTTATCTGAATATTTGTTGCAGTGGTTTCTCAACGGACTAACTTAAGCCTCCTGAAGTCTTGAGTATGGACTAGAAATTTATGGATTAGTAGATACCACTTCTGTCAATAAAGAACAACTAAAAGTGAGCCTAGGTGGCTGTTTATGCGGCAAGGCCCCCATAGATCTAAGATAACTTGAACCAACCATCTTAAGCTTAATACATATGCTTAATTTCTTATGACTGTGTAATGTGCATTGCATGTTGGTAATGTGACTCACAATTCCTGCTAATGACTCACACTGGTCAATCTTAAAATTCTGTTTCTTACCTCTTTAACTTGTGCATTTTTTCTGGGCACTGTATACCAAAATTTACCCAAAATGTGATCTGCAGCAAGCAGTTTACCCATTCAAATTTAAACATCAATACAAGCTGGCTATTATCTATTTTTCTTGATCTTAGACAGTTTATTATAAAAAGTATATAGTAACTATATTCGTTTTGTCTCCCTCTTCAAATTGTACATAATGAAGATCAAAACTCTAAAATAAATCGAACGGATTGGAGCAACCTGCCATGTAAGTTGTTACTTTTACTTTCTGCAGTTTTTTATGTATATATTACTGCGTACTAAATAGAGGCCGAAAGACAAACAAGATGTAAAAACTGTTTTTCATCTTCCCTTTCAAACTATCCCCTTCCACTTTCTTTATTTACTTCCCTTTCATCTTCTCCATTTACTTTCCTCTGTATTTTATACTACGTATATTATTTTTGAACTTGTTATGTTTTTAAATTGATCAATGGTGAACCCATCAAATTGAGAAATGATAAATCGTACTGACTCGTATGGTTCATTATCGGTTACTAATCAAGAAACCCCCTAAGTAAATTAGTGTTCATTTGGTAACATTGAAATTGGCTGAATCAACGAATTCTGTTGGAATTTACGAAGTTTTGGCTAATGTGACTAAATTGTTTGTCTGCTGATTTATGAATAAGTTATATTTAAAATATATTTTATTCATAGAATAAAGATTTTTTTTTAAAGATAGCTAAAATGAACTCTACAATGGTTTCAGCCAATTAAATCAGAAAAGTAACTTTAACCTTACTTTTTTTTTATTATTACACAAATTAACGTGCGAAATTAAAAGTTATGAGTTTGGTGAAAAAGTTGGGAATAAAACTGATAAACCGAAAAAAGAATCACCAAACGAGCTTTACGTACTTCAATTCCTTTTAGGATGGGATTAAACACTTCTGTTTTTGCATTTCATTCAAATTTTACTCTTACTTAGATCAATTTTTATAATTAGTTTTACAAATCAAATTCATCTCATTTGCACCAATACATCCCAAAATGCCGTCCATACTCTAGTAAGGATGGCAATGGGGGCGGGCCCCGTGGGGGAGTTGGGTGGGTGGTGGGGTGGGGCGGGTATGTGGGTGGGGAATTATTTCCTCCCCGCTTAAATATGGGGCGGGTGATGGGTTATGCACTCCCGTCCCCGTCCCGTCCCCCGTATATATACACATATTAATAATTAATAATAATAATCACAACAACAACAATAATACTAATAAAAAGTAGTAATTAAAATAACATGGTGGCCTGGTGGATTTAGTGGTTTACTATCTAATGGGTTGTGCCTAATATGTCTATCTAATTCTTGTTAATAACTCAGCTATCTTGTAAAATTGATTATCAAAATCATGAAGTAAAATGAATTTGGGAAAATTATAAAGTGATATTACCTTAAACGCCTCAGATATAGTGTGAATGTTTTCTTCTTTTACTATTACAGTGCAATAATTCTTTTCTTACGAATGTCATCTTTATGGTTGTAGTTAAGGCTATTAAAATTTTGGTGATCATAGGTTGTCCTAGATGCTCTCAAATAATCATGGTTGATTGAATGCAGAGTTTAAGAAAATATTATAGAGCTAAACAATGCTAATAAAGTGTTTGATAAAATAGCTAAATCAAAACGTGTATAATATGTTCTAGATTTGAAATGGGATATAAGAATACATTGACACTTAAAAGTGTTTAATTTTTGAAATTTGTCAGGGTCCAAAATGGTGTTAATTTTTGATGAATAATTCCCCCGTTGGGTATCCCGTGGGTCTAGCGGGTTGGGGCGGGGGATGGGGCAGGTCGAATAGTAGTGGGGGATGGGGCGGGGGTGAGGGGGATTTTTTACACATGGGGCGGGGATGGAGGAGTGAACCCCTGCCCCATTGCTATCCCTAGACTCCAGTCTCCCATGACTATGACTATCTAATTGAGTAAATGATTTAAGGTTCATCTAAATATATAAGGAAACATTCTATTTGTACACATAATTTCTACACACTTGGCAAACTTTCCCGTATACACAAACATCCCGTTTAAGAAAAAACAACAATTATCTGTGTGCATAAACGAGTGTAAAATACACAAAAATGTGTACACTCTCTAGTTATCTTTGTAGACTGGCAAAAAAACAAAAAAAAGGTAGCAATTGTCCATGTAGACAGAAGAGTGTGTCAAGTGTGTACAAATTTTGTGTACACCAAGAATGGTTGATAAATAAGACTGCTTACATAGTTCATTGCTCTTTCCTCTCGCAAACCCATATTCAATGTGTTATCAATTAATCATAACATCATATATACTGTATAAAGATCTGCCTTCAATATTTTAGACTTAGGAAATCATCCAAAATAAGAGTAAAAATAATATGAAATTCGAAAAAAATGTAATTACTATAATGCCTGGAAAATACAGTACTTATAATTGTGACATTAATACTCTTATATTAATGTCTAGTAATGCCTAAATATGACACTATTTTGGGAGATTCTCCTTTAATTTTTTATGTCCTATACAGTTCGATTGATTTACTTGTTATAGACTTGTAGTATTCTTGTAAAGAGTCTTGCATTGTCGGATTTCCTCTATGTTTACACCAAATATACTTTTCTTTAACTCTGCATATATTATACATATGTGTGTCTGAAAAATCTACATTTGGATATGCATTTCAAAACGATCTTAGTTAGTTTCCAAAACTAGTATAACAAGCCAAGTATATTTCCCACGGACTCATAATGTACACACTTTTTGAATAAAATTTGGAATGTCATTCTTTAAGGTGGAATGGAAGCATAAATTCTTGTTGTGGAATAAAATATCACTTCTTATAGCCAAAGGCAGATATAAGAAAATGGCGACCATCTTTTTAGCATCCCAATCAAAGCATCATTACATACTCCGTACGTTATCTGAAGCAAAGAATATCACCTTTAGTAGGTCTGATACCTTCATAAATTGAACTTCATACGATCTTCTCCTTTATAATCCTAAAGCATATGCACATTCAAGCAACAGAAAACGAAAAAAATGGATCTTGAATTCGGGTTCAAGGTCACAAGAAAAAATGCAGATGAATCCAGCTCTTTGAATTATCAGTTTTCAAAAGATGGAAGCAGCCTTCTTTTCCAGTCTAGTGAAACCAACACCATGTTCATCTTAACAGCCCATCTTAGAGGTTCTGCCTCTTCAACCTCCCTCCCATTTACGCCCACCACCTTTTTGTTTTTTTGTCTTCTTTAATTTGTTATGAAACCTGTTGCAGGTTATGAGGAAGATGATATAAATATCGAAATAAGCCAGGATGGGACTATACTGGTGATAAGTGGTGAGAAAACGGTTAATGTGGCGGTTCTGGTGGGATGGTGGAGGTACAAGAATGGAATAGAAACCATGAAGTTCAGGAAAAGGTTTAGAATTCCTGAGGGAGTGGATTTGGATGAAATAAAAGCCAATTTTACAGAAGGTGATGAATCAATGTTAACTGTCTCAATGCCAAAGACAGTGAAAGGAATGTCCGGGACAGTGATTGAGGAAATGGAAGAGCCAGATGTTATGAGACAAGGCTCTGAAGCTCTGCAAAGGACCTCCAAGGAGTCTGATATCATCAAGTCGGGTGAAGAAACAATTGAAGGTCATCAAGATAATTCGAAGGCGCCATCTAATCATCCGTACGGTGATCAAAAAGAGGATCAAGAAGCTCTCCCAGAAGAGGAAATGACCAAAGATCATCATCAAGAAATTGCAAAAAAGCCCCATGATCAAGAAACCAAACAAAGTGCTATCGTCCATGAGTCCTCCCCTCAGGGAAAAAGCGAATCAAGTCCAAAAGAAATGGAACCTAACCATGACCAAACAGGCGATCAAAAACCCGAGTCTTCGTCAGGTACTAAGAATTGAGGTTCTATCTTAAAAAATCATTTCAGTAACCAGAGATTTTATATGATGATTTGTACAAGTATATTTAATCAATATGGAATGATCAGGAGCTAAAGCACAAGAGGAAGAACATGAAAAAGAAGACGTGCTATCTAAAAGAGCTGAAGCACATGAAGAAGAAGAATTTATATTACCATCACGTGAAGCCGAGGTTGAAGAAGGGCATGATCATCATCACACAAGGGGAGAAGAGGGCGAAAAGAAAGAAGATGAAAGTCGTGAGAAAAGCAGCATGCTATGTACTCCTATTATTTATGTGGGCTCGGCATTGTTCCTTTCTCTTGTAACCATTTTGGTTCGATTCTTTAGATCTACAAAACAACCCCCGAGAACGAAGAACTAATACATAGACGCTTTTAAAAACATGATAAATGTTTGTCTAATTTGTTTGATAAGTATTCCATGTATATACTTCTGAGATGAGACATATTAATTTTTACTGCAAGAATGTTTTCATTTGGATGTTGTTGTAATGTTTTCATTTGGACCAAGAAACTGAAATTAAGAAGTGAAGGATGTACATAGTAATCATAATATTATCCATGTGCGTCGTCTGTATACATACTTCTCTGGTTATAACGAGATAAGGATGAACGGTTATGAGTTGTGGTAACAATTTTTGTTGGATACTTGGATAAATATCATTTGTATTTCAATATTATTGTTGTTCTTGTCATTGCCACATCAGTTATTGTTCATGTGAATGGATTACTACGGACTACATAGTATTATTTTTGAAAGTGAACATTCATTAAAATAATTTGTTAAAAAATAGTACTCGGTAAAATCTCTTAATCTGGGTCTGGGCCGGTTCCAGATATTTAGGCAGTCCTGTCCCGATCTTGTTCTATTTTTTTTGTCCACTTCCAAGGCTTAAAAAAATTCTCGGTTGGGACCGGAAGAAGGATCGGGACCGCCTGATTCTGTCCCCAAATATGTGAACCCAAATCGAGTACCCCGTTTGGGGTGACATGCCCAGTCATAGGCTCAAATCTAAAAAATGGACTTGGTCTGGTCGGCTGGTCCCGAACAGTGTCGGATTGGGTCCACCCCTAGCCGTGAGTACTTTTCTCTCTCTTTTTTTTGTAATGCAATTTTGGATCACGCTTTCAATAGCTTCGTCTTCACACGTTTACGAAAGTGATACAACAGTTTTAGTAAACACCAATTAATGTAAGAAATAGATAGTTATAATAAACATTAAAAATTAAGATTAATAAAATATGGTATATATAAAATAATAAATTGTGGCTAAAATAATTTATAATGTATCTTTGGATAAATCAATGTGTATTGCTGTGAGTGAATTTTACATATAGGTTAAATATTACATTAGTTTATGAGATATAAAAACATATTACTTTTTGAAATTGTATTACTAACTTTAACATTTAATTTCCTGCTTAAAGCTATTAAGGGAATGTTTGAAAGTTAGTATTTTTAGTTTATCGGTCTTATCTGTCATTTTTGCTTATCAAACACATAACTTTTTATTTGGCGCGCTGAATTATATAATATTCAACATAAGTGGGTTTTAAGTTACTTTTGTGATTAATTGATTGAAGTTAGCGTCCAAAATCATTGTAGTATTTTTCGTAATTTTTTTCTTCATTTATAATTAAAAAATATTTTAAATATACTATTTCTGCAAATATGAAAATTAGTGTAACTTTTCATTAGTTTCAATAGATTCAACTCATTTAATCGATTTCAATGTTACCAAAAATGAGTAATAAAAAATACAATCTAAAATCTTCCAAATTAAGAGCCTGTTTGGTGACCCTATTTTTTAAGCTTATGCCGACTTTTTCATCAAACACGTAATTTTTTATTTCACGCGCTGAGTTGTGTAATAATAAGAAAAAGTAAGGATGAAGTTACTTTTCTGGTTGTATTGGTTGAAGTTACTGTAAGAGATCATTTTAGCTATCTTTCATACGAAGTATAATTTTTTCTTTATTTCATTAACAAAAATATTTTGTATATATATTTTTTTATAAATCAACAAAATCAGTCAATCCAGTCACTTCAGTCAGAATTTCAGAAATTTCAGCAGAATCAACTGATTCAGCCAATTTAGGTGTTACCAAATGGTCTCTAAATGATTTAATGTTCTTGGCCCAGATGTTTAACCCGGTCCAATTAGAATTGGCGTGCCCAAGAAATAAGTTAACCCTACTTCCGCTTGTTAGCTTGTATTTCCACCGTTTCTCTTCGGTTAACCAAATCATCTCTCTGCTGCTCATTCTCTCCGACGATAGTACCCGATCGTTCAGTCTAATTTCCTCAGGTTAGTCGATTATTACTTACTGTCTTCTTATTTTATATGCTTTTGAGGATCGTTTTGTATCTGTTCTTTCATTTAAACGATGAATGATTTTCTAAACTAAGGAGTTGTAATAAGCTGTAGTTGAATGACCAACCAATACGCTGGCAGTGTGTCTTGCCTACGGTGGAGATCCAAAAATTATGCATTTTAGCTTCGAGTAATACCTTGTATTATTTTGATAAAATCAAATCGGTAGTTTTCCCCATAGTAGTCTTTTTTATATATGAATAAACCAATGGACCGGTTGTTTTGGTTGTTTTGTGGAGTTATTAGCATTGGCAAGTGAGGATATCTTTACTTTGGTGATTTTGTTTGGAATGATCCTTATGTCAATGCCAATCAAACTTTCATTGCCTCCAAAGTAAAAAAATAACTCTGCACAAATACCTAAAAATCTTTTGTTTTTTTTATTAAGGGGCAAATGCAAAATATTATTATCTGCTTGTGAGGAATTCTTTTCTTTCAGTTGACATCTGCCCAAAAAATGAAATAAATTATTTTTGTAAACATAAAAACGCCTATTTGCTGCAATTTCCTATTTCAGAAAATAACTGAAATACACCTGGACACTTTGCTCCTCCCCCAATTGCTTTAGTTACAACTTGCCACCAATTAAGTTAAATAACTGCAATAGTTGAACTTTTTCTACTGTCATGAAACTATAGGTCTAATATTTCATGTTTTTAACTAAAATCAGAATACGTTGGAAATAGATAAACCATAGATGTGAATATAACGTTTATCACAAACCTTTAGAAGATTTATAAGCATTTGTACTTATATTTAGAATGTTGTATACATACTGGGCAGTGTAATAATAATAGGAATACCATGTATTATTATTAATATTAACAATAGGAGTTTTAACTTAAACATGTTATGACATAAAAGTATAATACTATGTATCATTTAAAGAACCCAATAAACAAACCTACTCCAGCGGTGAATTGGAACCACGAGTGACAAATACTCATTCTATACTTCCTGGGGTTAATTGTCTTCTTATTTTATATGTTGCTGAGGTTTCTTCTTTATCTGTTCTTTCATTTAAAGCATGAATAATTTTCTAAATTAAGGAGTTGTAATAGGCTGTGTAATGACCATCCAATACACACTGGCAGTGTTGCCTTCATACGTAGGAGAGCCAAAACCTCACAGATTAACTGTGAGCACGTTTCTCTAAACAAAACTGTGAGCACGTGCCACATCACCCTGTGATGACATCATGATGATGTCACACTGATGTCATCAGTGTCAAGCAGGACCGTGATCCTACCAATACAGCTTTTAAAGATATTGAAAATTTAAGGGAAAAGGTGCAAATAGGCCCATGTACTAACCAAAAAAAGTCAAATAAGCCCTTATTTAGGAGGTTCTGTCCGGCCGTCGCCATTTGGGGTGGTTGCCGTTGGAATTTTTTGATGAATTTTTTTGAGCATCTTATTCATTAAGTCTAGTTTACTCATACCAAATTTCAGCTAAAAAAATCAATCGGGAAGGTATTCAAATAAATTCTTGACAATAACTGCGCAGTTAGAAGCGCAATTATCTTCAAGAATTCATTTAAATGCCTTCCCGATTGATGTTTTAGCTGAAATTTGGTATGAGTAAACTAGACTTGATGAATAAGATACTCAAAAAATTTCATCCAAAAATTCCACCGGGAACCACCCCAAATGACGACCGCCGGACAGAGTCTCTTAAATAAGGGCTTATTTGACCTTTTTTTGTTAGTACATGGGCCTATTTGCACCTTTTCCCAAAATTTAATGATTTGTTAGACAATTGCTTGTTTTTTACCGCCGCAGAATGAAGGTTCCAGAGTCTGGGTTGATGCGTTTCATAAAGCGCACAAACGTGAAGATCATTTATGATGAGAGAGTTCCGATAGACGAGGCTAAAATCGTCTGTCGGCGAGAAGATTACTTTCACACTTTCACATTAAGAAGGTTATAAAGGCTGAAGGCATATTTGGCAACCTTCGGGCTCTTCCTTCCTGGGCCGTACTTTTATGGAAGTATGGCTTTAGGAAGTGACTTAGGGCTGTTTACTTTTTCTTTCATTAACTGTTTTCTGGATTAAGATGTCTGTATTAAGTATCAAGACGTCTGTCTGGAATAAGTGACACTAGTATAACAAGTTATTTACTGTATGTGTTGAATGCATTGCCTGAATGCTATTCAATTACCAATTTATTCTTGTGCCGGTAACAAGTGTAACAAGTGCTAATTCTGTTGAATATTGTCTGTTTACTTTTACTATTCCGAATGATATTGTTATCGCATAAAATTTATGATAATATTAAATTACTGAGGAAACAAGTTCACAAAACACAATGAAACAAATTCAAGAATATTTTGACAGCAAATTCAAGAAAATTTGTCATACATTGTATGTTTTGGGTGCTCCATTTTGCGTTCCATCTATTTCTTCTCCGCGTTCTTGACTTCCTCCTTGTCCTCCTTGTTCATTGTTAAATATTGCATCATTATCCATACCTAAATATTGACATAAGTATACCACAATAATTCAAAATAAGCAAGCTAAAAGGCCTTATTTTTGTTTCTAGAAGCACTACCCATACCATAAAATAAACAAACTAAAAAGACTGAATTATATCTACGTTTCTATTTGCCCATGTTTTTACAGATGTATTATACCATGAGTTATGAGAGCAACCGCAATGTGGTTCTTTCTAGTGTTGGGTTCTTTCTAGTGTTGGGGTAGTGTGCCATGTCATTAATTTAGACACTCCATTTAATTTTGCTTCCAATGCATCTAGTCCTACGTTCTTTCATGGTGAGGTGGCAAATTTCTGTTAGACGGTGTGAGGAGTTAAGAACATCTTTAATGTTACACTGTTAACATTAAATAAATTTTGACACATGGCATTCAATAAATGGAATAGTCTTCCACCTCATATTGAAATTATCTAGGAAGACATTAAAACACAAAAACCAAGTCCAATGTTTAATGTCCCATGTAACAACTATATGTGTAAGCCATTTTGAGATGATAATCAATTATTCAATTCACTTCTTCTAAATAAAGTTTTTACTTTTTTGTTGGATTCTTGGATAAAGCAAAATTGCAAAATTCAGATAATTTCTAGGAAAGTGTAACAACTGTGACTCGCTAGATTGTATCTGGCCGGGCACTGGGGGTGTTTGGCAATCGGTTGTTGGCGGTTAGCTGTTG